AGGTTATGCAATGGTGATGAGGGAAACAGACTTGAAGGAGGGGGACCGGAGACCTAAAGGAGAAAGCAGGGTGCAGAGCAGAGCCTATCTATGAGGAATTCTGGATTTATCATCTCATTTTCTGCAAATACAAACTTTGGAAAGAGAAGGAGCCACACGTGTGTGGCCAAACAAGTTTACAAATAATTGGAGCATAAAGAACAAAGCAATTCTGACTTCAGGGGCTGAGGAATGCTTGTAAATGCTTCCCCTCCCCTGGTCATCTCCATTTCCACCCCCCACAATCATCACCAAACTGCTGCATTCAGAGGAATCAATATGGTTTCCCCTGCCATCTGTCTATACATCCCAGACAGCATAAGTATGAAGTTGCTGCTTTCTCAATAGGCATACCAGCTGATTTACTCTCTAGCTGGTACCAACATGTACCCCAAAAGCAGGGCTCTTGCTCCAGCCAGATACAGGCTCCACACCTATAATCCTTGGACAAAATTCATCCCTGAAAGAAGCACACACAATTCTAACCATCTTAGATTTTAATTTAACATGATGAATATATCCACGTTTTCAATATTTATAGAGCAACTGAAAGGCTGAAAAGAGAGCAGAGGAGAAGGATGACTTTATATGCAACTCCCATTCAGCTGCATTGCCTAATAAGATGGTTTACTCCACAGTGCAAGCAATAGCAAAAATAATAGAATCAGAATCCCTGCTCTAGGTAGCAGAACCCAAAAGGGAAGAGCAAGCACCACTGGATGCTATCACCATAGTCACCACAATCAAATCCAAAAAATAAGCCTGTCAACAATGACCACTAAGAAAGTAACTTGTAATAAGAGAATTGTATATCCTATTCTGAATTCATCCTAAAGTGTCAATGGTTCCCAAAGAGCCATGCATGCTGATTAATAATAATTTATGTATTTATTATTTAAGCTGCACCCAGAGGTCTATTAGGCAAGTGAGTGAACCTAACTATTGGTCATAGCTTTTAAAATGTTATTTTAATTACATCAGTGACACTTGCTATATAGAAAATATAATCATCATGATGGACTCACTGCAGATGATGTAGCTTTTCAAAGTTCTTCTCATCATAATGCAAATCTATCTCTCTGTATCTCCAGTATTAAAAGGAAACCAAATGGCAGCTATGCCACTGACTTGGTAAACAACCAATTTTATAGTTCAACTGTCATCTGAACTGTAGATCCTTTAATTGTTCCAAGTCACATAAGAAAGTCTACAGAAATAGCATATGGGCACATTGTAGCTAGGAAAGTGAATGGGTAACTTTAACGGGTGATCCTGGGGCTGCTGGCTCCCAGCCTTGGCAGGCTTACAGGCTGGGAGCTGTTTGTGTGGGACAGAAACAGCAGCGAGGGTAAGGAGAGGCAATTAAACACAGAAAAAGACTTCAAGTGACTTTTGGTACTGATAAGAGAGTAATTACTGAAAGACTTTTTGTGGCTGTCACCTTTCACTGGTTTTGTCTGTACTCACATGGAGTTTGAATGGAAGTAGCAGCACTGGCTGAGCTCGCAGAAGCTGAGGATACAGCAATAGTTACCTGAAATGCAGCAGGACCAACAGCCGCCTTGGGGCAAGGTGTGGGGGTGAGTGGCTCCACATGCCCAGAAAGGGGGGGGGGGGAAAAGGGGTCATTGGACAGAAGGGGCAGGGCCGGGGGCAACCAGCCCTCAGCAACACCCAGACCACAGCACTGGCTTCCCTCCGTTCAGCCCTCAGAGCTGCACAGAGTGGTGTTCTGTCACTCTGGCAGCAATTCAAAGGGGCCAGGGCTCCAGCCACCGCTACTGCTACTGCAGCAGCAGCAGCAGCAGCCTGAGTTCCAGGCCCTTTTGAATCACTGAGCCCTGGGGCAACTGGCCCCTCTGCCTCTGCTTAATTTTTAGTTTGCCACAATCAATCCTAATACGAGAAATGCAGAAGTAGGTACTCTGGACAGGTGTTTATTGATCCCTTACCTCATTTGGTGGAACAATAGCAAAAGGCTTGATGATCGCAGCCAGTGGAATCTGAGCTTGTTTGGCCATATCTGAAGAGGATGGGAAGCAGTAGGCAGTACATCGAATATAGCGTGGGCTGGCATTGCCTACAATAACATATCAAGCAAGGATTATGTTGGGTGGATTGATGTGAATCAAAGTAATTTAAATCACCATTTTAAATCAACAAGCAGGAAATCTTGACTTAAATAATGAACTGAATGAATAAGGAATGATTTAGATAATACATAGTTCCCTGCACTCATGGCAGGACTGACCAGTTGACCTCTCAGGGTCCTATGATTCCACGAATTAACAGTATTCTGCATTCATATTTTTCAGTTATGTTCTTAAAGAAAAGTGGATTTTCATTGCTTGGTAAATAATAAAATATTCAATTGAAATTAATGAGAGGTGCAGAAGCTTTTGGTGGTTTTTAAAGTTATGCCACCATCTCTGTTTGAGTGCCTAAATATGGACATGGAAACATGATTTTAAGAAACAAAATTTGAAAATTTCAGTCGATAATTTTTTTCCCCATTTGAACTAGTAAAGAACCTGAAGTGATCACACAAAGAGTTACCTTGATCTTGTATCATACAATCTGTGGTGACAAGAGGAGGAACTTGGCCTCTGATGTTTGTAGCATAGATTTGACCTCCTCTGGAAGCCTTATCATTTGCAATTACTTGAATCTGATGAATCAGAAGTAAAGAGAAAAACATGAAATAGGATAGACTGAATTTCCTCAATTTCATAAAGAGTAATAAAATATTGCCCAGCCCAAGTAACCCAAATAGCATTCATTATTTAGACACGTGTGCATAGAACATGAGGAGTATATTGTACTGTGTATTGTCCAAAGAGGATCAAAATAATTATATACATATATCTGTGTCCATAACTGCTTTATTCCCTTCTTGGTTCCTATTTGCCTAGGACTAAACTTTGTCCTAGTATATCTGAATGATGTGCAAACCAAGAGCGTCAGACAGACAATGCCCAATTTCCTCTACTGCAGGAAAATCAGGGGATTGGACTAATAGGGAAGTAGTATCAGCAAAGTTCGCTCCTCCAAGTTCAGTGCAATTATTCCATTGAAGGGAGAGACTTCTCTCCCTGAATAACAAACAGCAGAAAAGTCAACCTGGTCGATCTTCTACTGCAATGTCTGCCTCCAGGAGGCAAACTGTCACACTAAGTAAAGTTTTAAATCTGCGCCTGAAAAGGACACAGAAACAAGTAGCCCCTTGATGCAAAAACTGCCATAAATTGCTTCTTCAGCCCCATCTACAATACAAATTGGGGCCTATGTCACTAAAGTTGTTCTTTAGCTAAACTGAAGAGGACGGTGTGGATATTCTGACCTTTGATTAAGTCAGGTTTATAGCAGTTTAACTTGCTTCTATAATTTAACATGGGCTAGGAGCAGGCCTGCCGATAGGGAAAGGGGGTAAAGGAAGGCTGTCTGTCCCAGTCCTGTACCTTCCAAGAGGCTTGGAACTGAGCCCCTCCCCATCTTGCCCAGGACCCTGCAATTCTGTCAGCCCTCCGAGTTGGGACACTCATGAAGTCACTGTCAGACAGCACAAATACAGACAAATACATCAGGATGGAGCCCACTGACGGTTATTAAAAGGTATCTGGAATACACTGGGAAACATTTTGGGGCCCGGTACCATTTTGAATCTTTCCCACTGTAATTAATTCTGTCTGTTTAAATTGCTACAACATTTCTGGATTACATTGTTAGCTTCAAATATGTCTCTTAGACAGCTGGTTGTAATCTTCCATTTGCTTGACTTCTTCTCTACCTCTTTAGCTTGTGTACCTATTGCTGGCTGCTTGCACAAAGGAAAGGCAAACCGATTATTTAGTCCAAAAAATCCATTGGCTGAAGAAAGTGAAGCTTTTTCAGACTGAGCTCTGCAAAAAATGCATGTAAACAATATTCTCAAGAGTTAATTGACCTAAATATATCATTATTCTTGGAACTAGCTGTTGACAAAGTACAGATGCTGCATTTCACAGATGTTGTCAGAGCACAGATTAATCTAACATTTGTATGAAAATCCAATCAGCACTGGCTATATGTAAAAAAGCATTTAGCTGACAACACTATTGTAATTTTATAATATAAACATAACACGCATACAGAGATTCTTATCCCTCATTTTCAATTAGTTCGTTGCCTTTTGCATTCACTGACCCAGATCTTTCTTTTAAACATGTCGTTCTGATCCTTACAGTGCTGCTAAAACAAACCATTTAACAACTTAAAAAAAATTGCTGTTACTACCAAGTTTGTTTATTCTCCTATGGTAAGGAAAGAAGACATCAGATTATTCCACAGAAGACTTTTTTTAGATAGCAGGATAACATGTTATCCTGCTTTCTGGAAAATGGTGAATGGTGAGATGACTTACCAATCAAAAGGCAATGCCTATACTTGCTAGTCATAAAAACACTTCAATTTTTTTAAATAAGAGATTGTCACAGTTACACCTGAAGTGAACAACAGACAGTCTTTTCCCCCATGGTTTCTTCTCTATGGTGTCAACTGTTACACATCTTCATTCATGCCTGAGGACCTCCCAAATGGAGTCTGAACTGATCAATGGAGTAATCTTAGCCTCCCACCCCAAGAGCTGCACAGTACTTCCTAGATTATTAAGAATATATTTATTTAGTGTAAATTCTTCCTTCCACATACTCATGTAGAAAATACACATGAGAGTCTACAGATGCATAGTCAATAGTGCAGCTGTCTGTCCACTTCTGGTTTTGGTGTGGGGCTTTCACAAGTATCTAAGACCCAGATGTTCAAATATATTTAGGTTCCAAACTTTCAGTGCAAGCTAGGTGTCTAAATGCCACTGAGAATCTGGATAAAAGCGACTTAGGCACACAAGTCCTAGTAACCTTCAAGCAGGATTTGTGTTCCTAAGTGATTTAGGTGATTTTGAAATCATACCCTTTCACATCTTTGAAGTAACAAATATATGAATTTACGTCCAAGATAAAATATTGCAACTATTTTATGGTACAAATGCGCAAAGAGGAGAGAAAGAGTTCTGTCTAATTTCTTGAAGACATTGTGATGTAAAGAACTAGAACATTGTAACACATTGATATATTGCAATTATAGCCAATTTTAACAAAAAGTATTCCTCCTTAACCTAAGTGCAAGCTATTCTTAATAACAGACATAGTAGCTATTAGAGTGCTCACAGAATGAATTTGCAATCCATAGAACATAGTGTTCAAGTGCACAATGCAATAATGGCTCTTACAGTAATGCTACAACTTCAAAATGCATGCCAGTGATGGAAATAAATCACATTATTCATTGATAATGGAGTCTAGCAATGCTATTTGAGACTCAGAAGAAAAATGAACTCCAATTTAATATGCAATCAAAAATACCAAAAGCAGCAACTTGCTATCTAGAAAATCTTACTTGTCAATAGGCTTAGCAGAAAAATAATCACTGTTTCCTGTGATTCATGATCGGTTCCTACGTATCTTCTACTGCTCACAGAACAGGAAAACGTGTTTTAAAACATACTATGGATAGAATTATGTATGTTAAAATGGTTAACCAGTTAACTGTCTTATCTCAGAACACACCACCAGGCCCCACTGCAGCCACAGCTGTGAATTTATACCGTGGCCAGGAGTTCCTGACGCCAGTCCTGTTGCAGCCATGAGGTGCCGTTGCCTGGTGCACCAAACCTTTAGTGACTAGGGCCACTCCAGCATAGCATGGCTGGCTGCAGCCAGTTTTCCAGCAAGGATCAATGACCTGGTAAGCCTTCAGGTAAGTCTCATGCTTACGAGTTAACAATTTAATATCCCTAGACAGAGTATGTATCACACAGCTAATTACTGTAAGAACCTAATTTAACAAGAGTGGTTTGAGTACAGCACCATGAACTAGGAAACCCCAAGTGTTCATCCTGATTCCCATATTGGCCCTCTGCTCTGCAGCAAGTCACTTTTCAGCCTCTTGTTTCCCCACACTTTCAAAGTTGTGATCAACATAGATGCCTGAGCTGAAGTCCCTCTCAAATACAGGTGACAGACTTGCAAACCTATCAGCACATCTTCAGCAAAGGCTCCTCAGCTCTGGACCTTGTTTTCCCCCTTCTCTGGTCCAATATTGTCCTTAGTTTGTTGGTTTGCCCAAGCAAAGAGAAACTAAACCAACTCTGGTTGAAGACTTTAAAGATCAAAAATGTGTTCCCTTGCTGGCTTATGAGTCATGTTAAGGAGAGGGCAGAGGGACACGGGGACTCCTGAAATAGTTCATTTGCACTGCAGAAGTATTAAGGTGTGTCAAACAGCAAAGAATAGATGCTCCTTTCTTATGAAAGGACAATAAAAAGTGGAAGTATATAATGTATAAATTTGGGGAACGAACAGTCCACTTAGCTCAGTGTTTCTTAAAGCTTTTAAGACCGAGGAACACCAAACAATTTTTTTTATGAGGAAGCAAAGATTTTTGGCTCAAAAAAAAGTCAAGAGGAAAAAAGGTCGGGGGGAAAGTTACTGAGGGGAAAAAAAGGTCGGGGGAAAGTTATTGAGAAAAAAAAAAGTTGCCTGCCCTTTGAGGGCAGCCATTTTGAATTCTCTTGTTCTCTGCAGCACACTTCCGACTGCCCCGTGGCACACCAGTGTGCCACGGAACACAGTTTAAGAAAATCTGAATTAGCTGTTCAAGGCTACATACCACAGGGCTGTTGTCAGTAAATACTGGATAGTTAAAGAGGTCTTTAAACAGAAAGCATTTCTAGATGAGTGTGAAATCCTATTTATGCAGCCGCTAATTACTAATAACCAGGAGCGGCCTTGACGAGCTGCTGGCAACTGGTGCCCTAAGCGAAATGTGTGATCGGCGCCCCCGCCTCTAAACCCGTCAACAGCTGTTTAATTTGGCGCGCTAAGCAACTGCCTAGTTTGAGCCTATGGATGGGCCGCCACTGCTAATAACAGGGAAGATGACCAGCTGACAAATTAAACACATTTCAAACTGTGCATTTTCCTTAACATTGTAGGGACTCATTAGAATTTCGCTCATACATGTGTAAATAAAGAGTAACTCCACTGTTTTCAACAATCTAAAACAGAGGTGGGAGACCTCAGGATGCAGCCCCCGGCTTGCCTGGATTCCCCACGCCCAGCATTAGGGAGCCCGCACTGGCACTCCACCAACCCTGGTACCCCATCAAAGAGCTACCCTCCCCCCCCAGGCTCTGGTGTGGGAGGGGAAGGTGGGGAGTGTTTTTCTCCTTCTCAGTCAGGGGCATGTCAGAGAGGGCTGTTTTTGGCTGCTTCACTGTCTATCATTTATCGATTCCCCAGTGAATCTGAGTGATTTTTCTAGTCTTCTGGGAACTTAGCTCAAATGAGCGTATTTCAGATGCAATTAAAGTTTTAGCTCTTTGTGGAGTAACAGAGGATGGTAGTTTATCTGAAGTGTTTGTGAGTAGCAACTGTGTGACTGAATCCCTGGGAACAGATCAGATGTTTCTGAAGGGAACCGTGCGGTAAGATCACAGAAGAGAATTCACATAAAAAAACCAATACATTAGCAGGCTAGAAAAGTTTATACTAATAAGAATCAGGGATTTTTCAAAAAAATGACACTAAAGCTACACATTGCTGTCACTTTATCTAAAACTGACAAAACACTCCTCTAAGCACAGAATACCGCATAATTAAAGACTTAGGTTACATTATGAACATTTTCTAGGAGTTCTGTGGCATGGCACATTTTAAATGTCTAAACCCCCCCAACAATGTAAAAACACAGTGAGCTTTGGTATTTGTTACATTCTAATAGGAATGCAGTTCACTACAAAACTAAATGTTGTATTACTTACTGGGCTTGGGATGGAGTCTGGATCAAGCTTCCTCTGCTGTGGACCAGCAAGCTGTCCTGGACCTCCAGGAAAGGCACCAGGATAAGAGAGCTGAGAGCCTGCCATCTGAGGGCCAAAGTTGGCTGCAGAAGGACAAAAACCCATTCATCAAATGTAAAGTGTTTTAATTCCATGATGAAGTGCTGACTTTCTTCCAGCCAATATCTGTGTATTTTATCTTGCCATACAAATCTTACTGAAACACAATATGTGTATTTACTACTTTCAGCTTCATGCAAAGTGTGCTTTGTGAGAGGTGATGGGGAGAGGAAGAGAGAGAATCACCCTTAAATAGTATTTATGAAAAAAAAAATCTTTAACGCTTTCAGTCTGTTTCTCTCCTGCCCCCCCCAAAAGGGTACAGAGTAGTTTTATAATATGATACATTCAGATTTTATTTTCTGTTTTTGTAGCTGCAGGTTTGCAAGCATAATTAAAAACACCTGCACGTTTACACCCATGATTCATTGAAGGATAAGCCTAAAATTAGGTATGACATGTCCAGGTACCAAAGTCCCTCCTGCATGTGGCTGCTGGGGTGTAATCAGCAATGCCTCTCATGACTGATTAGCCGAGTGTCAAAAGTGAAACTGCACCTTTAGTTTCAGCTTTATTCAAGAGATGGCCAAAGTTCTAATGCACAATATGTAATGCACGTGATTTAAATAAGAAACCAAACATCCATATATACCAGTCTGTGGGTGATACCCAGGCACTGGGGGTTGTCCTGGAAGATGCTGCAAGTTGGCATTTGCCGGTAGAGATCCCAGGATCCCATCCTGCATAGCCATTGGAGGCAGTGAGGGTGGAGAGGAAATGCCATTGAGATTATTTGCTGGTGCAGGAGGAATCTGAGATCCAGGTAGCAAGGCCATTTGCTGCTGTGTTGCTGGTGGTGGTGGAGGACATGGTCCTTGAAAAGATGCCGGACTCCCAGAAGGCATGAGAGAACTCTGAGTAGCACCAGGACCTGTGCAAGAACATTACTTTTATATATCAAATCATCTGAAAAATGATAACATGCTAACAGTCATTTAATGTTCTTAATTGCCAATATATTTGCAGCCTGTGTAAGAATACTACAACTTAAACTGACAGTGCCTCTGAAGTTGTATTTATAATAATCCTTAGACATGTTACAAATGACATCTCACAGTTTAAGATTTCTAAAGCAACTAGTACTCTTGGGGGCCTAACTTGACAGTAAGGTCTGTTTTTCACAAAACATTGAGTAATAATCCTCTGAAAAAAATGTCTTTAAAATGTCTTGATCTGGGGACTACTTACTTTTGAAAATTTAGGCTTAGGTTATTAAAGCCAAAAGACACTAACCTGTCTGATTTCTTTTTTACACCATGTTTACTTTCACCAATTTGCTACGATTAGTCCACTGGGGGGAAAAACATGTCACCCATTTCATATTTAAAATCATCTTCAAATGTCAGGTTCTCATCTCCTAAATGCTGCAGTGTATGTTTTACACACTCTGCATGGGAATGCTTATAAGAAAAAAAACAACCTATTTTCAATTGAGATGTAAAATCCCAGTTAATCACTTAATCATTGATGTGGGCCTGCTTCTGCTCCAGGCCCCCCATGGCGTGAGGCTCGCTCTTACTGCCCCTCTCCCCAGGGTACTTTTGGATACTGGTTAACCAGTACCCAGTAAGCATCACCCATTCACATCTTAATTTCCAAATGGAATTATCACAGTTATAGAAACATTTCTTTGACACTTACATCTTATAAATGTTTGTTTTTACAAAACCTACATTTTGAGTAAAATTTCTCCTGAAAGACCTCATAAGAAACATTTTCAGGACAGCTAACAATAAGTCAAACAAAACTCATAAGCTTTCTGAGCAAACAATTGTTAATAACTTGTTATACAAACACTTAAAGATCTTGAGTCAAACATCTTAATTGAAAACAAAACCCTCGCACACAAAAGACCATCATATCGTCATCTGGTATGAACTGACATACCCAACTAAATGCTGAGTTCCATGGACATAGACCAATTTAGATTAGCTGTTGATCTAGTGCCTAAAATTTTACACTAATATTCTGGTTGACTGCTGAGCTACAAAAGAAAAGGCATTCTAAGCAGGAAAAAGACAAAGCAGTATAAAACTCATACCTTCAATAGACTAAGGAGTATTTAATGTCTATGCTTAAAAGACAGGAGAATGGTTTAAAAAAAAAAACCCCTTCACAATCTCTTTCTCAAGGGCCACTATTATCTGTAACACAAATCAATTCTTTTTGCCTCATCTGAAACATTTCACAGAAGTATCATAAAAATGATGGACCAAATCTAGTCGTGTGGAAAGATGGTATAACACCACTGTGCATTTGTACTCACAGTACACTGGGATGAATTTAAGTTTTTAGGTAAGTAAAAATGCTCAACACAGGGTGGTCTCAAAGAGACCATGGTCCAGCATAGTCAGGACCTGACCAGTCCCGAATGAGTGAACTTGCCAAACCAGGAGAGGTGTCCTGCCACTGGCTCCAAGCACATCGCCTGCAGCTGACAGGATGCCCCAGCAGGCAACCCTGCCTCACTCTACCCCTCAACCTGGCTGAGCTGTTTTTTTCCCCAGCTATTGCTGGCTACCTGGGTGGCACAAGTGCCGGTTCCTGCTACGGGACTCCGGTGCCACGCAGCCAGGAGCAGCTGCGAGGGTGGGGCTCCGGCCCTACGCAGCTGGGGGCAGCCACAGGGCTGGGGCTCCAGCCCCGGCCATGCAGCCAAGGGCGGAAGCCATGGGGCTCTGACCTCAGCTCCAGCCCCATGCAGCTGCAGCCCCAACCCCAACCCAGTGCAGCCAGAGGCAGCCACGGGGCTCCAGCCCTGGCCCAGGGCTCCTAGGGTGCTGAGGGGACTCTAGCCCCGTGCTCCTGTGGGGATCCAGCCTCAGGCCCGCTCTCCCGAGGGCTGCTGGAGGCTGCTGAAGGGCTGCAGCCCTGGTCCTGTGCTGCCCCCAGCTGGACTGCCAACCCTGATGCCCCACCCAGCTGGCTTTCCTGTCCTTAGGCTCCCAGGCTCTCTGCCCCAGGAGCATCCATGGTCTTACTGGACCACGGATGATACCAGACCAGAGTGTGCCAGATTTTGGAGGTACAATCTGTACAGATCTTACTTTTGACCGATTTAACAATATTAAAATATCAAAATAAACTCTTTGCTCTTTCACCATATTTTAGCCAAAGAAAACAGATAAATGGTAACCAATCATTACCATAGTTATTCATCTGCAGAGTGCTGAGTTGATTAGCCAGTTGTGCTGTGGATGAAGAGGACGCAGTATTTGGGTAGGATGGCTGTAACTGAGGGCAATAAGGGGGATAGGAAGGTGATGCATTGTTAGGAGGTGAAGGGCCTTGAAACCTGAGAAGAGAAATTAATTTGTTATATAAAAAGAAATCATTTCAGCTGAGCCAATCACAACTCAGTCTAATTTATCCTCACACATGATTCTGAAACTGCTGACTATAAAGGCCAAAGTTACAAAGGAATCACCTCTGGTTGTCCCTAGACAAAGTATATTTTTGTTACAATAGAAATGAAGTGTGCACACAGCTATGTGCCTATAAAGAGAGCAAGTATTCATTTGCGCACACACAATAGCTTAATAGAAGTGATTAAATGTGAAGGGAGCCTGTGTGTGTATGATTTTGCTGGTGCACTTTAAGAAGTGCTTTTGAAATTCTGAACCCTAACGTCAAATCATCTGACCCATTCTCCATCTATGAGGACAAGGGGTCAGTCTTAGCTGGCATCTCTCAGGGTGGGTGGGAGGGGATTATGGGGAGACAATTGAAGAATCTCTGTATGTGGAGGAAGGAAGGAGGAACAGCATGTGGGGAAACAGTGGGTGGTGTTCTCCATGCATCTGTGGCAGAAGCCAAAAGAGAAGAGAATCTGGAGGAAAGAGAAGGTATTGAAGGCAGGAAAAGGGGTGGGGTACAGGAAAGAAATACAACTCTAGTAACGTTCAGAGAGGGAAATAGTAGACCACCCTACCCACAAGCCCTTTTTCCTACTACATATTTTCTTAATTTTGGGGGGGCGGGGGGGAAGGGGTAAGGCTAGAATGTTGACCTGTTTGACCACCACCAGGGGAAAGACTTCTATACTGTTCTGACCATAATTCACTTGTGAACAAAGAGGGACCCCTCTTTCCTTTAAAAGGAATAACTTTGTTTTCTTGCCATTCTCTGTTCTAGGGATAGCCTGAACTAAACTACCAATTCCTTCTAATGTGAGAACATACGCAGTACATAGGGATAGGATAAAGATATGGTACATAGCCTACAGCAGTTATCAGAAGAGTTAAATTCTAGTCCTGACATCTCCACTGACCTGCTGTGTGACATTAGGTCAGTCACCTTGCTACTCTACTCAGTGCTCGTGGCTCCCCTCCCATTCTTTGTCTATCTTGCCTATTTAGGCAGCAAGCAGCTCAGAGCAGGGACTGTCTCTTACTGAAATGTTTAGGCATAAAGCAATGGGGATCCAATATGAGCTGGTGTCTCTAAATTCTTTAACATTACTAGGAATAATTGAAGCTTCCTAATTTTGATATCTAAATGGAACATATAAAATATATTTTAATTTAAAATAAACCATTCACAAATATATCTGGATGACATCTGAAAACAAATACATTAGTAGTTTGACTATCTGATGTCTAAGATACTGCTGCTAGAAGAAATTAAATAAAGGAAATGCAACCAAACATAGTTACGATTATAAATTTAGAAACTTACTATACAATTCTTTTCTTACTCCATGAAAGCAATTTTCTTCAAGCTATTTTAGGTTTTAAGGCAGCTACATACATATTTTTTTATAACTATACACAATCCGAATTATGAAACTGAACCACTCTGTGGTTAACTTTCTCCATTGTCTTCATACCTTGTCATTATCTTCCTCCACATTCTCTGCTTATCCCTCTTCTGCCATCTTCATTTTCTCCTTTCCCTATTTCCTTTCATTCTCTTCTTTTTCTACCCCATCCTGTAACCCTTCCTCTTCACTCTAGCTTTTGCATAAATAGCTATCAAAGCTCACTAAACATCATCCTTCCTCTACAAAAGAAATCATGGGAATTACACCAAGAAAAAGCAGCCATCAGTCTCCAAGAATTGGACAGAGCATCATTATGACACATCTTTAGTGCGCCCTGTTGAGTTTTGTCCGTAATGTTGGAAGTTGGCTTAAAGAAACTGCTAAGCAGGAAAACGAAATATTGATGCATAGACACGCACAAGCTTCTAACCTCAATTCACTGGCAACTGATGACATGCATTCATCATTATATAAAGAACCAAGTGGTTATAGTTACAAGAAAACTTGACTAAGAAAGATACATTAATCTTCTGTAACTTCTAACACAGATGGTATTCCTCACACCTGTTTGTTGCCTTTGTCTCCTCCAAGTAGAGGAGACAAAAAGAAGTGTAATAATACTAAAGCTTTTCTAAGTGCTGTTTCACTTTCTATTTTTATACTTCTAATCAGACACAGAAAAAAGGTCATAGGTGGTTCTCTACTCAGGGAATATTCCTACGTAAAGGTTGTATGAAACACATGGTACAAATTATTCCTCAGTCTACATTAGATAGTTACTTGATCCAGGAACTCAGAGATCTGTGTTTTCCCCCAGTGAATCAGGTTTATACTTCTAACCCCTAATAGCTATTCCAGAGCATAACATTCATTTGAAACAGCTGCTCTGTCTGACTTGTTCTTCTGAAAAGCAGAATGTACTATTTATACAAACATAAATATTAAAAGTCTATTGGTACCCACCATAGATATACTACAAGAAAAAGGACAAAAGCCAATTGCCTTCTATCAACTAAATATTCCAATAACTCAGCACTAACAGCTTATTAATGTGTACCAGTGAATAAAGCTTTTAATTGTAAAATTTTGTACCAATACAGATTTTTTTAAAGAACAATCTATGTTTCCACCTTAAAAATTATTCGAAACAGACATTGGAAATAAAAGAATAGTTCCTAAGTAACTTTTAAATTGACCTACTCCTTCTTGGACCATCTCTCCCTTCTCCTATCCCTTGGAGACTGGCTAACCATTTCAAAGCAACTTGCAACCCAAAATATACTTTCAACACACTTAAAAGCTGGAATACTAAACAGTTCCCAAATTAGAAATGTCTGAAGATAACAGCAGTCCATGCTTCAATTAGGGATGTAAAATCTCATTTAATTGGATAACTGGCTAAACATATTGCCATAGCAGCTCCTGTCTATGGTGGGACCCTTGCGAGACTAGAGCAGCCTTCTGCCCCCAATGGATGGTATGCTGCTCCAGCCCTCCTCTGAAAGTTATCTGAAAGTTATGCTATTTCTTGACGATCACCTGTGTGGCTGATGTCCACTGGAACGGGGGCCATTCTGGAGATTAGTCTGGCTGTAATGGTGGGTCCCAGGAGGTGGCGATCCAACAGGAGCAGAGGACCCAAAAGGCACAGTACCTTTCAACATACCTAAAATAAGTCACATTCAAATACATTTATAATAAATGTAAAAGTGCAAATTCCCACATTAAATGGTGATTCACTGGAACATAACCATCAGGATATGTACGAATGAAAGTTTTGATAGCAAGAGGCAAGATTAGATGAATTCAGAGCCAGCCACAGAAATTAAAAAAAAAAATCCATCAACAATGCTTATCATTTATTCCTTTCTTCTCACCAGCCTCTCTTTCAACATTTCCCTTCCTTTATTGATTTCAAGGATGCTAGTTTATATTCTGTGCTTGTTAGCACACATTAACAAAGAGATGGTGCAGCCCCAGTTAGGCTAGGGCGTTAAAGTTAAATTTTTCGACTTTATTAAAGAAGGTAAATCCAAAAATTTGACTGGAACAAACAGAATATAAAAATAAGGTAACATTAAATACCTGCTAAGAAAAATAAATTGTAAGTTACCAGCAGAATAAAAAGCTTTTTCAACAACATGCTGTGCCACCCCAACGGCTCCTCTCCTCTACTGCAAACTCCAGCTTTGTCTCCAGCATCCCCTTCATCTCTCTCTGGTTAATGAGTCTCCTTTGCTTTGGCACAACAATAAGACCTCTTTCCAACAGATTCACCCACAAACGGCAGCTCCTCAAACTGGAGGGCTGCCTCCCCTTTTTCCAGGTACCCAAACTGTATCCCCTTATCAGTGTCCCAGTGGCTAACCTCACTAGTCATACGCTTTATGTCCCTTGCAGCAAAGCTCCTTACATGCTGCCCTTCAAGGTTCAGTTTCCCCTGAAACAGCTTGCTCAGTAATTTTTATGTTAGTGCCGCCTCTTTTTAACTATTTCTCTAACCCCCATCTAAATACCTCCTCTCTGGCAGATCCCAGGCCTCTCCACAACTAGGTTTGTAAAATCCCAGTTAACTGGTTAAACCTTAAGTTTAACCACTTAACTGATTAATCAGGATCCCATAGGGGACACCTCCAGCCTGGTTGGACTCGACTCCAGCTCCTGCTCCTTCCTACCCCTGTTCCCATGCCTGGATGGCCAGATCCTGTCCTCTGCAGGATACAAGCAGCCCTCTGACCACAGCAGGCCGTGGATGAAAGGAAAAGGGGAGAGGAGGCTGTTCCCAATTACCAGTTAACCAGTACCTGATAATGGTGATACTTACTAGGCAACTGGTTACCCATTCCCATCCCTATCCTCATCTCAAACTTCCCTCTCATTGTCTGTCTATGTTGCTTCATTTCACTCCATACCCTCACATTACCCTTCATGATAAGCTGTAGCAGGTTCTTGCACCAAGATTAATACAATGGAACAAAGGAGAAAAATGGGACGAAGAGAAGAAGGAAAAATAGTGTGTACTAAAGCAGAGGAAAACAGTAGGAAGGTGAAATGGATCCTTATGTGAAAAAATAGTAGGGCAGAAAAAGCAAGAAGGGGAAGATGAGAAAAAAAAATAACTAGGAAAGAGAGCCTCCAAATTAGTGTAAGAGAGAACCTGAGCAACTTTATATTGAAATCTTACCTGGAAATTTGCACCCTCCTCTTCACTAAGCTTCTTAGTAAGAAAAAAGAAACACTGATAATTAAGCTTTGGTTTTCCTCAATAAGTAAGATGGTGTTTTTCAAAAGTGCTTGACAACACAGGCTTATCATAAGAATACCTCCTCACCTATAACCAGTATTCCTATAGTACCAGTTCTCAACTTAAACATTGAGAAATCCAGACTGCTGACCAACTGTACAGAGATTAAAATTTATAGTGACCAATAATGCAACTAATGTTCCTATCCATGTCTCTTGGATTTGTTTAGGTTAACTTTCCTTGAAGTTTGCATGGCTATTAACTTTGGTACTTTCCTTTCTCAACTTTCCACATAAAACAAACTTCAAATTTCTAGAGGCTCTTCTATTTCATTTAGGATATCTTGGCCAAACTCAGTCTTGGAATAAAGGTTGCACTGTATTTGACAGAGTGTTCTGGCTCCTCCCTCTAGGCTGAATTTGTTCCGGACTCTTCTTCCATTAGAGCAAGAAAAGTAGGTAGGCTGTTCAACAAAGTGTAGACATCAGTCTTCTACTAAGCTGCTGATCCTGCCCAACATCTGAGAAATGTAAAGCTTAATCTAAGTTTTCATCTTCTTATAGTCCTCTCTTATCCACTTGCTATAAATAATTTGAACTGCTCCAACACCTTTAATATTTCACTAAGTGCTCTACGTGCATCTGTGATACTGGCCGAAACTTCTGTCATTTCCCTTTGCAGACTCAGTATCTTGCCCAACAACGTGTTAGGTCTTTCTACCTCCTTTCTGAAGTCTGACTCTTTGGTTAAAAGCTAGTGCCCTGATTCTTCTCTCAGGTATACTCCCTTAACATCATTGAAATTATACCTTATTTACACAAGTCAGTGAGTGGAGAATCAGTTCTTATATAAGGTGCCATTGCAAAAAAAATGACCAAGATCAGTGTCCGCCCTATGTTAAGTTCAAATGCATGCTTTACTTTAAAAAATCTGAAGCCCCAGTTTGGCAATTTCTTTTTAATTTTGTACGATGACATATGTGCAAGTAAAAATATTTGCTTCACCTAGGCGTTTGTCCTGCTTGCTTTTTCTGATGTTTGTCAATTACAGTGTATTAATCATCATGCTGAGATAAAGTGCAACTTCCCACCCAGCCTATTAAAACTTGCTAGGTTATTTTCCCTATTAGGAGACAATTGGCTCCTATATGATCAGAGATAGCTGGCTTACATTTTCCTCTTTTCAACTAACCACACCAGTGAAAAAAAGAATCTCAACTGTACAATACTAACTGTATGGTCGGAGTCAAGATTCTGGTTAGAATCTCGTTCATTTTTTTAATCAATTACTGGTCCTACAGAAATGAGTTGTTTTCTGCTGAAGTGGGCATCTCCCATCAACAGAGATTAGCTCAGAAAACAGTTCTCTCTGTTTTCAGAAAAGAAATGGAACCCTTTTTGTCTGTTCAAATTAAGCAATGTCATATTACAGTAAACTTCCAATAATCCGGCACCTTTAGGACCCAGGGGGTGTCGGATTATCAAATATGCCGGACTATCAGAAGGGGGGGGGCTATGAGGGGTCTGGGGTGGGGTAGGGGGATGCCACCCCAGACCCCTCATAGTCCCACTTCCGATAGTCCAGCTCTGCCCCAGGTGTCCCCAATTCAGCTGCTGCTGGTCAGATTCAGCCG